ATGATTTTTTATTGGATCATTTTATCCGTGTGTTCATCCATCAGGGAGCCACGTGGCCACGTGATATACTCAGGTCTTAACTTTTCCCAAATGTAAATGAAATGCCGTCCTCTAATATAATAGCTCTATATGGACAATGCGTGACAAAACAATTAATTGCTTATCACAGCTACTTACACCACTGATATTCAATCAGGCTTGGTCACACGAAGCAGTGGGATTAATGGAGAAAGTGATTTTACTCAATCCGTGAATACTTGGATTTGTATACGCTACTATGTCGTTCTTATTAATCCCCTAGAGTAGAACTTTAACTTCTTTCCTCTTTGTTTATGTACAAAACACTCTGATACTAATTGTGAAGGACCAATTACCTTACACCAAGAGAAGATCAAGGTAAGAAGGTGAATCCCCCATTTAGGTCTTACATCCAAGCAATGGAAGAGAAGATCAAGGTACTTCCCTGGGTCTTTTCTTGCCGTCTTGCACTGACTATAACAGTTTCTATTTCAATAACTCTAAAACTTGGTGGTGGTACTTTGTTACAATAAAATGTAAAATAAGTCCAACTGGCTCATAGCTTTCGGCGCTAATCTCCGGTTTCTGTAGCATGGAGTAGTTAGGAGTTTTGTTATCCCCGCCAGTTCACAAAAATTCAGAGTAAAGTGCCATGCCCAAAAACACAACGCAATGTCCCCGGCCATGCCCGCAACTGCAGGACCGCACGACTTCAAGTCCATTAGCTCACCGCGCCTTCCGCGCCATAATAAATTTCCACTGGGGCTGATATTGGCAGTAAAAGTCAATATCAAAGATAACGCCCTTTGATGGTCACAGACGGCTGTTCCAAAGAAATACGATTGCTAATTATAATTAAGCTATTTAACAAATTCATGTCGGCTTTTTAAGCGTCTGCCTTCTTATTTATGATGAATTGTGTCATGACAGTGTTAGCGTAGCTGTGGATCCCACGAGGCGTAGCTAAGTGGACTTTGACGATGTTATGGCGAGGTTTATCAGCAGTAATAGGACAGCCGCATGAAAAGCTGGCATCAATTTGTTAATTATACTAACTGAAAACCAAATTAAAAAGATCAAGCGTAGACATCACACAAGAGAAAAGGCTAGTTGGAAGTACGAGGAGGCCTGAATTTCTTTTAGCCGAAATGATTCCAAAACTCACCACGTAATAAACTTAAAACTGTACAATCATTCAAAACTAAAATGGAGAAACGAAATTTCTATAACTAGCCTTTTTTCCACTTGGAAATTCTTCTTGAACTGACCATCTGAATTATTATGCAGTTCAGTCCACTCGCATCAGATCGGAACTCAATCAAACAAGACAAAATAAACAAATCCCATTTATCGAGTTCCACGTTAAACTTTGACTGAAAAATGTGCTTTTTTTTTACTTACAGCTGCAGATTATGAATTTATAGTCCTGCATACGAATCTCAGACGATTTTACATGAAACGATTTGCTCTTAAAAGAACTCCTGTTTATATGCCATTTGTCGCTTAAATGGGGAACTGACAACACTATGGGGTGAGTTGGGGGTAGTTAGAAAAATACCGCATAGAATATTGAGCAAAACGGTTGGGGAGTGGAAAAAGATCAATCGGGTAAGACAGAAAAAAAGTATCCTGCCGGGCTGGAAGGAGGAAAACCAATATCGAGCAGCACAAATTCATTTAACCGCCTTCCTCCCATCCCCCTACCCTCAAGTAATACTGTGGTCCCCTGAACGTTAGCGAAATATTCAAGAACTACGCGTGATGGCGTCATCTACTATGGGCTGTACTCATATTGAAGATACACCTTGCATACGGCTAGCGCGCCTGAAATTTGAATTGACCAATCAGGATTCAGCAGGCGGGAAAAAACATTACTGCCCTGACGTCAACGTAAGTTAACAGAAAAGAGTTGAAATCAGGCAACTTTTCTCACTGAAGATCGCACTGAATATTCACGAAAAGGGATTAACAATTACAAAAACCATATCAGATTGTAAAAAGTGAAAAATATGAAACATTTTGTGTCTCCAAGCTTCTGATTTGGCGCCAAAAATGGGTCGCCGACGTTCGGCATGACAACTCGCTCGTAGTTCGTCGAGTGTCGCCAGGTAGGATAATACTGACTTGTGCTATTTTGAACAAAATATGCCGTTCCTCGTCAAAGTAAAACCGGAATTCTCCAGTTAACGATTAGAGGAGGCCAAAGCAACTTTAGTATACTCCTAATTTTTGTTAGCTGCGAAAAAAAAAAAGCCATTATCGTGTTGTTTTGGTAGGACAGCTCAGTTTTGACTGCCGCTCATACTGCGGGCGCAGCCGCCATATGTAAGGCACCTATTGTAAGAAAAACAAAACAATCATGATTGGATAGTCTTTTAGTTTTGTCAGGTTTGCTTTCCTTTCTGTACTTGATTTGATCAGAGTTTATCTGTAAAACAAAGCATTGATCAAGGATATTTTGGTTTGAGTTTCATCTTGCTACCCTTAAGGTAGTTCCAGTTCAAATAATAATCACTGTCTCCACAGTTACCATTCAGATGAGAATTGTAAAAGCTTTTGAACCACCAAGCTCCTTTTTCTTTTACAGCACAGTTATAACTATTGTGCTTGTCGTTATCCCGATCCTTGGTAGTGAAAGCCATACCGTTATGACTCTTAAGTTGATCCCCTGCTGATCCATAACAGAAATCTACAAACCCTTGAACATTAGCGAAATGTTCAAGATCAGCACGAGATGACGTTATCTAATGTGTCTGCACTCTTATTGAAGATACGGCTATATTGTGAGAAAGAACATAATTAAAACATAACTGAATAGTGTTTTAGTTTTGTCAGTTTTGCTTTCTTTCCAGTGCTTAATTTGATCAGCGTTTATCTGTAAAACGAGGGGCACTGATCAAGGAGATTTTGGTTTGAGTTTCATTTCACTTCCCTTGAGGTTGTTCCAGCTCCAATGATAATTACTGTCTCCATAGTTACCATTCAGATTAGAACTGAAACAGCTTTTAAACCACCAAACTCCTTTGTAGTTTACAGCACAGTTATAACTACCCTGCTTGTCGTTATCCCGATCCTTGGTAGTGAAAGCCATGCCGTTATGATAGTTAAGATGAT